ATTCGATTTTTAATTAAACAAAGTATGAGCATGTGTTTGTATATTTACACTTAAAATGCTGAGAAACATGAACTGGTAAAAAAAAATGTATAGATCAGCAAAGTTATATTAGTTACGCATACCATGAGAGATCCATAAGGTCCGTTTATAATTTCTAAAAATAAATTTTTTTGGAGTATTTTACTCACTGCTCCAAACATTCCCTGTATATTTGTATTTCTAATGAAAATGTGTAAATCTTCAAAATTGCAATAAGTTAAAGTCCACTATAAACACACGCTGGAGTTTTCGGAAAGCAAAGTGAAAATCACTTTTAATAAATACAAGGTGCGTTTCAAAGTAAACAGTAAAAAAGTAACAAAGTAAACTCTAGCCATCTATATGTCGGCTAGTGCGTTAGAATCTGCTATCCTTCCAGTAAAAAGTATTTCATGACATTTCATCTATTGGAAGTGAAGTTATTGCGTTTTAAGTGTCAGTATGTTTTTGTCATCGGTGCGAAAATGAGCTTCGAACAAAGAGCCAACATTAAATTTTGTTTTAAAATTGGTAAAACTTTTACCGAAACGTTTCAATTTATGGCGATGATTGCCTATCCCGTGGAAGAGTGCACGAGTGGTTTCAACGTTTTCAAAGTGGTCGTGAGGACATAAATGACGATGAACATGTGGGCCAACCAAAAACCGTGATCACCGAAAATTCCATCGAAACTGTGCGTGAATTCATAAAAAATCAGCCGAAATCATCATTGAAATTCATGGAAATAGAATTGAACATCTCCAAAACATCGATTTATCGTATTTTGACCGAACATTTGGGCTTACAAAAGGTGTGTGCACGGTTTGTTCCGCACAAATTGACTGACGACCAAAAATTAACATCATTAAAGAGGCAAAAGAAGACCCGAACTTCCTTTACAAGATTGTGACTGGTGGAGAAGTCAAAAGTGAAGACAATGCTGATTTGTTTTTATGATTCCATGGGTATTGTCCACACACATTGTTCCACCCGGCCAAAACGTTAATGCGGTGTTCTACCTTGGAGTTTTGAAGCGTTTGGTGTGCCGTATTCGACATGTTCGGCCCGAATTTTGCGAAGATGGAAGTTGGCGTTTGTTGCACGATCATGCGCCGTCTCATAGATCGACGCTTGTGGCCGATTATTTGACCAAAAATCACATTTTATTAATCAACCACTCCCCGTATTCACCTGATATGGCACCGTGGGACTTCTACCTTTTCGGAAAAATGCATTTGCCGATGAAAGGAAAGCGTTATGAGCTAAAACACTCGTTCGACATGCTTTTGGACCGTGCAGAAAGCTGTATTAAAGCAGAAGGAGATTATTTTGAATAAACTAAATTGATTTTGCCGATAAAACTATTTGCTCTGTATTTTTTGTCTTCAGAAAGATTATCGAAGAAAAGCTTTTCAAATTGCAACTATCTATCCTTCGATTAAGTCAAAACGGGATGCGCACTTTGCGTGAAAATTTGTTGACGAAAGTCAGAAAATCAGTATTCCTATCAGAATTGTTTCTGAATTGTATATAATACATGTTTCGCAAACAAAAATCAATAAAAAAAAGTTTCAAAGTTGTTAATCTCCCCATATTGTTAGTTAGAAATAAAAAATTGATATTCCTCTTCTGCTATGAAGAAATAAACATTTCCTGAATCTAAATAATTTCATTTATACTTCTGTTTTTATTGATACTGCCCTGATTTTCACTTCTTTGATTCAATCTAAAGCACTTACTAAGCATATACTCGTATCCATATGAGAACAAAAAAACCTTGAAATGGAAAACTAAAAACTGGATCATCAACATGAAGGGAATTCTACTGATTCATAGCAAACAGACAGTATCATAAATTCCAAAGCCAATCTATCTTGATTTGTTAATTTTAAAGATAAATGGTTTTTTTTACCCACGAAGTTTGACGAGCTGAGTCGATTTAACCATGGCCGGCAAAGTAGTACCTCAGTTTTTAAGATGTGGATCTGAAATTTTGCACACACTGCCGAAATCGGACCACTATAGCATATAGCTGCCATACAAACTGAACGACAAAAATTCAGTTCTTTTATGCAAATTTTGTTTGGGAAAGGTATTATAGCTTCTGTGAAACCGAAGTAAATACTGAAATAAAAATAAGAATAAACAATTTATACTTCCTGAAAGTGATCTAGACATCCTACTATTTTAGAGTGATACTTTAATTATACTTTTAGTAACTTAAAGCAGAGCTTCTGACGTAATTTCTATAAACCCAAGTAGTAAAAATCTGTTTTACCCATAGCTACTTATTTATCTTTCTTATTGGCGAATATTTGTATGTATATGTAGTACATATGTAAGTGTTTTATGCATATAGTCGACTTTCGAGTACGCCACACCCATCACTCGCGCTTTAAAAAACATTGAAGCACATTCTTATAAACACACATATGTAAATATGTATGTATGTATATGCATTTACATGTGTAAATTCACAGTCTCCAACATGGCGAACTTGAAATTGAAAATTGAAATTATATTAAGTGCGCGACGAAATTGTGCTCATGATGCTGCCGACCGCCGATGGAGAACGGCCAGCCGCCACAAAATTCAGCACAGTGGCGCGTCATTAATGGGGCTACTACTGACAATGTGAGTTTGTATATTGCTAAATAAATGTTGTGTGGTGTGCTTTTGTGGCACATGAGAGGTTCGTGCAATTGCCAAATGTAATGGCTCCATAAAATTACGCCAACGGCTCTAGACAGTCGGTGGAGCATGCCGACAAATGTCGTAACGTGTACTTCGTTGGCTGATCGCATGACTTTACTCACACTAGCCGAAGCAACATAGGCTGGTAGCAGTTAGTCGTTGCATATTTTGTTGGTGCCCCGCCCAAGTGACTGCCTGTCCAACTGTTGGTCTGATGAACAATCAGAAAGTCAGTGCTCAATATGAGTTGCTTTTTTCCACAACTCTGATTGCCAGTTGTCGGTTGTAGCTGTGCTTTGGTGTGATGTGATCAGCAGCGACCTTTGATTTGTCTAGGTTATGTTGGTCTTTATGGCTGCTGTAGACTCGTTGGTTTTTTGACTTCATAATACCCTGCCCTTGCTTCTCTCTCATGACAGCTTTAGTTGTTTAAGTAGTATTTTTAAGTTATATGGTTTCGAAATTTTTGATTTAAGAAGTTTTTCAAAAACCCCTGATAGATCAAATGATAAAGTTGGGATCTTTCAGCTTTAAAAATTTTTCCACACTCTCATGCGCAATCAAAAAGATAAGTAAGTATATTTGGAAAAAAATTGTAAAATGAACATGACGTTTTCAAGTAACATGTTTGATTGCAATAACAAATAGCCTGCCAATAGCCATCTAAATTAAAGTCCATATACGCCTTGAAATTGCTTGCCGACCGCTTGTAATTGATCTGGAATTCTCATATTAAGTGTGCAAAATGCAAATTTACTCCACAATTCAAAAGTCATTCCCACAATCGTTTCTCAGTCAATTAAATGTGCAGCAATAATTCTTGAAATGTGCGTTTATATGCGAGTGTAAACGGATAAATGCTGAAGACCAAGCATCGAAACAACCGCAATGCCCTTTGGGTTATATTTGACCATGGCTGGGTGTAAATATACTTGTATAGGTAAATATACTTGTATAGGTATGTATAGGAGTAAGTAAATAAAATTGATGTTAAGCAGTGATTTTTATTGCTGCATCATAAATCGTCCTTTGTTCGATGCTAAAAAAAGTGTCTTATATGCCATAAATATGTAAATTGTTGCATTTGTTTGTAAAAAAAAAATCGCAAAAAAATAAACAAATCAATATATAATAATGTAAACTTTGCGCGCCTGAAAATTGTCGATTTTCTTTGTATCTGCAACGGTTTGTGTGCACCTACGCACTAAGCTATATTTACATTAATTTAAATTTTTTTTTTTTATAAATTCTGCGCACCTTTTTAATCGCATTTCGAAATAAAATTGAACATCTGGCATTGGTTTATTCCTAGAGCAGATATAATCATTTCGTATAAAAAATATAGAGCCATATACATTCATACGTATATACCTAAGTGCATAAGTGGAGCAGTTCGTATGGGAAATGTGCGTATTCGAGAGAAAAAGCGTTGCGTAGTAATGGCTTCGATTTCAAGTAGTGATATAGTTCGAGCAAAAATAGTTTATGAGCACACAGTAGATGCCTAAGAACATTTTTAAACACATGCAAATCAATTTTATTTTTTAAATATACTTTGAACAGTTTGCCACAAAGTTTGTAACACCCCGAAAGTAACGTCGAGTCCCAATAAAGTAAAGTATACATATGTATATGTTATATAAATGATCAGCGTGTCGAGCTGTGTCAATTTAGCCATGTCTGTCAATCCATCTGTCTGTCTGTATATACGCGAACCAGTCAAACAATTTTTGGGATATCAATATGAAATTATGAACATGTCCTTTTTTCCCAAGAATCTGCTCATTTGTCGAAAACACCGATATCGTACCAATATACCACATAATTGCCATACAAGCTGACCGATGAGATGATTGTATGGAAAACTTTTTTATTTGACAAGATATTTGTATAAAAAAACTTGTTCACTTGGAGAGATATATTTACGAAATTTGGCATAAATAATTACAATTTAATTTGGATCGGACTACGCTGTCATGTAAATTGAACTAATCAAAATCAAGTCCTTGTATGGAAAACTTTTTTAATTGACAAAATATCTTCACAAAATTTGGTTAATTGTTTAGATTGGACCACTATACGATATACTTGTAGCTGCCATACAAACTGAACTCTGATGACACTCAGAGCTTTTCTTCTATTTTTAAGCTGCAGTTGAACTTTCTACCGCATTTTTACATATATATTATTTTAATCAATAAACTAAGCAATTTTCGCCAACATACTTATAATATTTCCAAGCAATATTTTAACCTAATTTTTTCTTCTTTTGCGTTTTTTACTTCCAGCTGAGAGCGACCTCTTAACTTTCGCGCAGCGCAAAACGCATTTCGAGTGCGACAAGTCGCTTCGCAAGGAGCTCTTCACCGCCACCACACGTCCGCCCAGTGTTCGTATACTGTATGAGGAGGCGGCCCGAGTTAGGCCAACACCAGCCGCCCTCGCCTACCACTCACCGCATTCGCCACGCTCGTTTACATCGGCTGATGGGGCGATGGTGTGCGGCGATGCCGCCAACGCGGATTGTGCACCGCTACTGGATGGCATGAGCGCTGGCGACTTCGATGAACTGGTTTGTACGCCCGTCTTTGGCAAAACCAATCGCAAGATGCACACCAGAATTGATGCTGAAATTGAAATAAGATTGGTGAGTTTGCAATAGCAGATATTTTTCTAACTTTATATGTATATACTCGTATACAGATGCACGTGTGTGTCTTTGTAATTTAAGTAAATGTTTAAGTGTCTAACATTGCCTGAGCTTCGCTCATTTTCACATACGCGCTGAAGTCCAAAAGCCGCTATGACTCCTAACGGTTGGCAACTTCTAAAAAGTTGCCACCTCACACACACACACACTCGCACAAACGCGTATATACATATGCATACAATATGGCGGCATGATTGGTAGTTTCTGCATTCCCAGTACGGTATTCACCAGTTTTTGCTATTTTAAAGCAATTTAGTTGCGGTTGTATATGTTCCACACACAACGTTTGACGTTGTCTTCTAAATCGGCTATCATGTCGTTCGTACCGGCTGTTTGTAATTCGAATGTTGTAATCTCTGCGGACTTTTTGTATTGGAAATGGTCATGTTCTTAACTTGATTGAAAAGTTTGTAAGCCACTCTTAAGTGTAGAAACGTATATGCACTGGTGTGTGTGCGTTAACGGCATTGCATACTTCAGTGGTTGTATTGTAGGTGAAAAACGGCAGTGCGTTAAAGCTAATGTTTTTTCTCATTTTGTATAAATGTCTGTCATTTATTAGCAAGTAAGTTACCAAACGTTGTGAATATGAAGTTAATATTTCATAGAAAGACGGCATGCTTATTTACAAATATACGTATGTGTACAAATGTGTGCGCAAGCTTTTTGTGGGAAAATTCAGTTAATAAATTGGTGTAATAAGGATGCTGGGGATTACTAGTTTTTCTTTTTCTGCATCTTGATTGGTTATTCAAACGCCTGACCAATAGAGAAGGCTAGTTGAGCTTATCACAACTTATGTTTTTCAGAGTCACAAAAAAATGTTGAAGTTGGAAGATACAGTTACGTGAAATTGAGCTTGATATGGTGAAAGTACTTGTTTTTCTTCGTTGTACAGAGGATATTTTCGCCATAAAATTTGAAAGACAAATATAATTTGGTTAAATCGTAAGACTTAATTTTTCTGAGTGATATAATTCTTTCCCTCCGAACAGGGTATATTAAATTTGCTACGAAGTTTGTAACATCCAGAAGGAAACGTCGGAGACTCTATGAAATAAATACATATATAAATGATCAGCATGACGAGCTGAGCCGATTTAGCCATGCCCATCTGGCTGTCCGTTTATTACGCAAACTGGTCTCTTAGTTTTTGAGATATCGATTTGAAAACTTTCACACGTTTTTTCCCCCCAAGAAGTTGCTCACATGTCGGAACCGCCGATTTCGGAACGCTATAGTTATAGCTGCCATACAAACTGAACAATCAAAATCAAGATCTTGCAAGGAAAGTGTTTTATTTGTGAACGGTTTTATAGGTTCAGTGCAACCGATATTAACGTTTTTTCTTGTTTTTTATAAATTTCTTAAACACTTAGCATTTTTAATGTAAGAACAGATGATTTTTAAACTCGTCTTATAAAACAAGATAGCTAATCGATACTCAGATGGCCTACTAAATATTATTGACTAATGAAAATTTTGAAATCGGAAGTCCAACTGTCTGTGCCAAGAAAATATTGTTATTTATAACTCTCATTTTAAACTGACATGAGGTTGCATTTATTTCTCTCGCAATACAATACCCACTACGAGCTACTTAATTTAATTCTACATTCTTCTTAGAAAATATTCTTTGGACTTAAGGATCTATACAGCGTCAAATAGAACTTGCTCAAGCGAAAGGAGGAGCTTCAGCTTTTGTGTTATAGAAAAATTAGAAGAATTTCTTTTTTTTATATTTAATAACTTATAGACGGATGGATCTAGGATGTAGGAGAGAGGTGCTGAAGATATTGATCGAACACTAAGCTAGATTCTATACTGCAACGAACAGTATATCCACCGGTTTTAGAATGTGATTCAACCAATTTCAACTTTCACCCAAATTAAACTCAACAAAGAATTGGGAGTTGATTTAATAGCGGTCTTTTCATACATAAAGCGGTCAATGAAGCTCTCTTCAACTGGACCTTTTATTTATTGATTGAGAAGAAGTAGTTAATCAATTATAATTTCACCCATAATCCGTTTATTCGCTTTGTCAATATATATAATATAACCGTTATCAACATGCTATTTCGTTATCGGGCCGTGTTTCAAGACTTGGTAGTCCGAACAGTTTTTAACTAACGAAAATTCCAAATATTCGGCAGGTACATCTATTAAATAAGTGCGGACACTAAGCAATATCTTCTACCGTTAAGAATACAGTAACTGTACTCACTTTCAGCCAACAATGTATTATACGCCATTGACCATCATTTTGAATATTCAAAAAATTGTTAACAATTCTGATAGCCGAGGAAGGGAAAAAGTAAAGCAAAGCATTTTACCTAATTAGCTAACTCACCCAAAAGAAGCTAAAGGGTCGCTCAATGACTTTCCAAAGTCTTATTGTAGTTCCGAAAACACAGAGCTCTGCTGTTAAATATTTATTCGGAAAATAGCCACAACTCCTGTCATCCTTGGCGGTAAATTAGAAGTTATAAATTTTCTGTGCCATACTTAAAGCTGAAAGCATACATACTTTTCTTAGTTAGCGCTAAATTTAATCAAGCTGAAAGCATACATACTTTTCTTAGTTAGCGCTAAATTTAATCAAGCTGAA